TGTGAAGAGATGAAGAGATTCATGCATTTAGAGATACAGTTAACAAATAATTCAATACAAACATTTTTCCCAGTAATTAAAACTAAAGGATTGCCTCTAGAGGAGAGTCGCTGCTATGATAATTCTTAGAAAGAATAAATTTATTACATATGTTTATGGTATATGTTACTTTTTGTCAACTCTGTGTCCAAGTTTATTGTAGTCCTGCCATGTGTCTCATGTGTCTGCAGAATGCATCATCCAATCTTGACAGATTTAGTGATAACTCCCCAGTCAGTTCTCAGTGTTTGTCCAATATGTATATGACACAACAAAATTACTGTTTCAATGAAGGATTAGATATTATTAAGTTGTTTCTTATAATGAAAGTGAGACTTGATTGCAGTGAAAACAATCCCCTAAATGTGTCGTGGGAGTCGTGAATCTGTACTTTTATTTCATATATTATTGTGAGGTTTAGAGACACTGTTGCTAAAGGTCAGATAAAATTATTTATTTTTGGACCCAAATATGTTTCCAAACCTTGTTAAATAAAAACACATTAGCATGAAAGCATCAAAGCGGATTAAGCCATCACTCAGTCATCCTCTTTGCAGAGCTCATTTATCTTTAACCATGTGTCCAAATGGAGGATATTAACCACATCTATTAACATTAACACATGCACTAAAGCCCAGTGTGGTCGGGGCTGGGTCAGCTCAGTACACTGCTGAGTCAACAATGTTATAAACAGAAAGTTACACAGGGAATAGGGACAAAGGGGATCACCAAAGTTTTTTTCTGGGTTGTCTTCCAGATTGTGCTTTAAAGATCCTATATATCACACAAAATGGACTATTGTGTGCTTTTAGCAGTGTTATAATGTTATTACCTCATCAAAAACATACCCGGAGTTGTGATTTGTTTCATTCACACGTTTAAGTAACCCTTTCTGATGTCTGTCTACTTCTCCAAAGCTCAAAATGCCACTTTGTGATGTCATGAAGCAGTAACTTCTGAAGTTAAAAGCCCCTTTTACCTTTTTGCAGTAAAGATTGGTAATTCTAGAGCTAAAATCATCCACATGATTCTAATAAAGGTGTATGGGGTTTAAAAACATACTGGAGCACTTTCTGTATTACCACTGGACATCACAAGGGGGAACAGAGCATTTTCAGTTTGAGAGAAAAATTCTGCCTAAATATGCAGAGTTACTATGTGAATGAAGCAAAACACAATTACTGGTATGTTTTTGACCAGGAAACAACTTAGATCAGAAAATAACCCAATATAAGCCCTAAAAATCAGATATTGTTCAGTTGGCTTTTGAAAATACCAAAGATCTGCAATTTTTTTTATTTTATTTTATTTTTTACATCAATCTTTCAAGTTTCATGATTCATAAATTCCTGTAGAGTTGATGACACATGAAAGAAATGGCAGAAATGAAATCTCATCAAAGTCACTAGGATTCCAGATTGTGAATGTATTTTTGGGTTCAGAAATCATTCAAAACTGAATGAAAATGACGTCAATACAGAGTAAAGAGTTACTATTTTTTTCTTTTGATCTTTTACAAACATTATTTAGGGTAGCAGGCAAAATGACCACACTTTTCAAATACTGACAAAACTACTATTTTCCGTTTACAGTTGTAGTTGTCTGCAAAAAGTCAAATGACTCAAATTAAGAAGCATTTGATTACATTTTCTTAATCGATCGTCAGGAGAATTAACGATCGATTATCAATTAATCATTAACATTTTTTATATTAAAATGTATCACCATTATTATTACTATCTGCGCTACTAATCTGCATAAATAAATTCAACTTTACAACATATAAACGGTAACCACTCTAGAGCCACATCAGCCCGTTTGAGATTATAATGTGTTTAATGCAGCTTTGCGCAAGTTTCACAGAAACTAACCTTAAAACCACATGGCTAATTTGCAAAAATTAAGCAAAGAAAAAAAATAGCTCTTGTGCGCTGATGCGACACAACTCAGTGGAATACAGTAGTGTGACCTTACTTGTGTTTGTCAAAACCAGGACACCGTAAGGGAGGTGGGAGGTGGGGACTCATCATCGACATTGTGCTACTCTCACCTGGCAAAGCTTTTTCCCACTGGACACTGAAACATATGTGCTGCTTTGTACACTGTGCACATGGCCTCACACTTGTCCCGAACGCAACAGAAAGCATGGAATTTCTTGTACAAGTCATCGTTAAATACGCATTTGCTCTTTGGCACGTTGCAGACTGACCGACTGCTTGTGTCTGCTTGCGCCTTCTGAGTGCAGAGAGCTACATGTACGGACCCCTGTTTGGTCACGCTACACTACGCACAGCAACCTACATTCGGTTTGTCAATTAAAATGAACGTCATCGATGAAATACTTAATGATCAATTATCGATTAATCGACTAATCATGCCCATCCCTATTATTTTCTAGTGGAGTGAGTCTTATGTTTTAGTTCAAACATCATGCCATTTAGTTTCTTATTTTAAGCACAAAGAGTTGTTTTTCTTATCTTCAGTATAACTAGGTGCATTTTCCTATTTCAACTACAAAAACACTTGACATGTGAAATTTACTCAATATAACTCAATATAACATGTTCTTAATTCAGGAATTTCCAAACTTTTCTCTTCAAGGGCTTCGATGGAAATATGATTGCATTGCCTGTAATGTTCTGCAGTATGACATTAAACAGATTTACCTTACATTTATTCAATTATATGTGGTTTTATAGCTCAAAAATACCTAGAAAAACAGGCATTCTGACTATGAACCGGGTTGACTCTTGACAGATGTGACCTGTAACTTGGTCTGGTTTGGTCTCCATGAGGATAGAAAGGTTTAATACCGTACTGAGAACCATTCCAGACAAAACAATAACATATCCATGGAGAAAAGCATTTGATGTACCCTCCAGCAGAAAGGTTAATGCACCTTTAAAGAAGCTTGAGGGCTAAGAAAAATAGGTCTGAGGGCCACATTTGGACCCCGGGCCATAGTTTACACATGCCTCTTTTAATTCAAGTCATTTTAACTTGGTAAGCTTTTAGTTTTTGTAGTATAGTTTTCAGGTATTCAAAGGTCGGAGGCTCCACCTGTGGCATATAAAAACCAATTGGAAAACATAAGTGAATGAGTTCAGACAAACACAGGGGGAGATGTATTAAATTTGCTTTGTTCACAGATATTAATTGGATTGGGCTTTGCAGGCTGCGGCTTTGTCTTTTTCTCATTAACAGAGCAAATTAAGAACTTTTCAAATCTCTCTCTTAGTCTATTTACGTGATTCATGCAGGGCCCCGCGGTTCTGCTCTCTTCACTTTTAAATAATCTTCCAACGCTGCACACTCATTGTTGGCTGCATAACTTTCATTGCTATGCGCTGTGCACTCTTTGTTGCATTGTGGGTGGATGTCTTTGTAATGGAAATCACAGGAACTTACAACAAGCGCATTGTTAGGCTGAAAACACATACACAGCTTCATGTATGCTATAAAACATTTCAGCATTTTGAATAGGATGTTCAGCATGCACTTGCTAACAGGATTCACGCACTCTGTTGTTAATGGACTGTCCTTGGCATGCTCGTACCTGTGATGAAAGGGTGGGTTCAAACAGCCCTGCGTACTGTGTTGACATCAGAAATCTTCCTTTCTTCTGCTCTTTCCAAACACTCAAGATGTGTCACCTTTGCTAGATCTGTTCCTAATTATCAATACGATCTTTAACAGTCTGAAGTGCAAGCTGTTATATTGCAAAGAAAACTGAGAGAAGCTATGCTGCTTTGAATTTACTCTACAAAAAAGACAGGAAATTTCGCCTGTGTTTTTCTGTATTAAGTAAGTGAAGAGTATTGCTGTAAAAGAAGTGAATAGGACTAAAGTGGATAAACATAACTGAATGTAGTCGCCTAAAACAGGCTTTGTGTGTATTTATTGCAAATTGAATGGTGCGTTTTTGGTTGCAGCATGATTTATTATTAAAATAGTCCATGTGGTTGAGGAAAGTTTTTCTTGCACCAAGATGATACCTATGTACTGTCTATCAAATTATAATGCGTTTGTTGTATCGGCCAAGAACCAGAAGCAGGGGTGTAGTGGGTGTGGTACACGGGGGTATGCCACCCACTTCTCCACCCACCTTCTCCCGATGTGAGATATAAAAAATAACAAATATAAAATGGCCTACACGTTAAATGTCAAACCGGAGCTATTGGCAACGGCGACAACAACCTGCATAGGCTCATGATATCTGCAGTAATGTCCTATAGTGACCTGCAACATGAGGAACCAGGACTGAACCAGAAGAACTAAGCCAGGACTGAACCAGGACTAAAAAAGGACTAAAACAGGACTAAACCAGATCTAAACCAGGTCTAAATCAGAACTGAACCAGGACTGGGTGTCAGAACAAGCCCAGAGGTGCACCAGTGTAGACCGTCCGGTGACCACAGAAGAAAGAACTGGCACTGTGCCCCACGGGACTAAAGCGCAGCCATCACCCGATCGTGCTTTGTGGACACCCTGCTCCACAGGCTTGGGGTTATTGCTCTCAAGTCCAAGATTAATGCTGGTTTAGACGTGGTTTAGTCCTGGTTCAGTTCTGTTTTAAGTCGTGGTTCAGTTCTGGTTTAGTCCTGATTTAAACCTGGTTTAATCCTGGTTTAGTCCTGGTTTAGTTCTGGTTTAAACCTGGTTTATACCTGGTTTAGTCCTGGTTCAGTCCTGATTCAGTTCTAGTTTAGTAATGGTTTAGACCTGGTTTAGTCCTGGTTTAGTCCTAGTTTAGACCTGGCTCAGTCCTGGTTTAGACCTGCTTTACTAATAAAGTAATAGTAAAAGAACAGTAATAGAGTAATAGTAATTTTGTAATAAACTATTTAACTTTTGGTTCAGTAAAAATCATGTACCGGTCCTTTATGTTCTAAGCGTGTGTGGTGTAATATTGTACTCATCCACACTGTTTTGCCTAAAAGATCATGTGTTTCCTTTTGCAGTGCATGTGAAGGCGGGGACCTGTGAGGTGATCGCGGCCCATCGCTGCTGTAACAAGAACAAGATCGAGGAGAGATCTCAGACCGTCAAGTGTTCCTGCTTCCCTGGACAAGTTGCTGGGACCACCCACGCCATGCCTTCCTGTGTCGATGGTATGTACTATTCTTCTCCATTGTCATCTGCAGCTATGAAAACCCTGGCAGCAAGTTTTTATAGATTTCCTCAGATCCACAAAATTGTTACAATATGTGAATCTGCTAGCACAAATCTCTGTGACTATATTTTAATTGTAATAAAACTAAAGCTGAGTGGATTAGTGATACTTTTGCAGTGACATCACGTTAGAAGTTGTGAGAAGAAATACAAAATGTATTTAAATTATCAGGAGCCTGTGATCAATATGAGCATTCATTTAAGGTGTTTGAGTTTCAACAAAAATGTGAGAATGACTAATTGATAAACTCTTGATTATTGCGAGCTAGCGTGTGACTGAAATCTTATGTGTATTTTGTTGTATAACAGCTCACTTGTTGCAGTTCCAACTAAGGCTACGTTCAGACTGCAGGGCTTAATGCTCAATCCTGATTTTTTTGTGAAATCAGATTTTTTTTTTTGCGAGGTCATTCACATTTGTAATTAAATACGACTTGTATGTGATCTCCAGTGTGAACGTTAAAAGACTGGTGGGATTGCTATTAGCGTCACTGCTTCACTGACACGGAGTTCATAGACAATTTTCATATGACGAGACACATACATGTACACACGTTTGTGTAAATTTGATGTGGCTTTCTTCCAGTTTCCGCCTACTTCAGTGCAGAATAGTGACATTTGTCACTTGTTGATGACGTGTAGGTGGGATGAATGTGACCTGGCCGTTCAGACTGAAGTTGCATGTCAAAAGATTGGATATGTATTGGTTTTAGGAGCACATATCCAAGTGGCCTGGGCTGCATTTGAAAAGAAATTTTGATCTGTGTCATTCAGACTGTCATTAAATGATCTGAGGTGAAAAAATCTGATTTGGGTGACTTAAGGCTGCAGTCTGAATATGGCCTTAGTCAGTTCGTCATGGTCAGATTGAGTTAAAACATAAGTCAGATTCTCCCAAGTAAAAAAAAAAACAAAAAATGTCCTTTAGGTTTCTTATTAGTATTTAATCCATATTATTTATTTACACTATTTGCACATTATTATAGTTACAAATGGTTTCACAAGCCAACATCTTGGTTTGTACTTCTTTAAACATGACACAAATCAACTGTTGTAGCAGAAAATGTGACTTGCTGTGATCAGCATCTGTAATGATTTTGACAACACATTTAAATAAGCACTTGACTCATTTTGATGAGAACCTTGATCCTGAGGGCAAATGTGATCTCCTGCCAACAAGCATTTCTATCTTTTTTTACTTTGTTGACAATGCATGACCATGAAAAATAAGAGTTGATTCTGTTGAGCGAAATGTTTGCTCTGCTTTTTACACATAAATGAGCTTTGTTCCACTGTGCCTGTGACAACACACACTCAGAAAATGTACCAATAAAGCCGGAAAATCCCTCTGGCGTGTGTTCTGGTGGCCACGAAATCAGCATCACACACCCCCACCGAGGAGAGGAGTGCTACTAGACAAAATCAAAGTTAAAAACGAGCGAGATGAATTTTCATGGATAATGGGGGTTGGGATCATAATGCGCGATTGTACCATACACAATTGATTTTAAAAAGGGTTATATGGCCAAAACTAGATACATTTTACTTGATTTCATTGATTTAATTGAAAATAGGAAGTGAACAAACACTGAAACAAATGTTGAACAAAAGAATAATTTTTTTACATTTTTATGCTTAGTCTATGTGAACACACGTCTGCGTTTTTGCGGCGCATCTTCAGGTGTCAGCGCAGCGTTTCTTGAGCGGTTAGGCACCGATGCTCTGGATGCGCAACCAGGAAGTCGACTTCAGAAGTTGAAAATGCTGAACTTTTGGCATTGAACGCACTGTGTCAACTAATCAGGGATGACTATCCAGTGACGTAGCGACGTTATTATCCACAAGATGAAGAAGAAAGACCCGGGAACCAGGGCAGGGAGCCACAAACATTAGTGGAGTATAAATATATACACGCTGCAACCACCAAACCGATCGCCAGGACTACATCAGGACTACACCAGGACTAAACCAGGACTAGACCAGAATTGGACCAGGACTCAGCCTGGTTCTGCCATTGTTCTGTTAAAAGACCAAGAAATGGCACTTGTGAAGGACAACAGACACCCTGGATGTGCGTCAAATATTTTTCTCCCGTTCGTCCACGGCGTCCAATACGTGTGTCAGGGGCATCTAAACTCAAATGCAAAGGTGTCAGAATAAAGGCATCCAGGGTGTTTTTTGATGCTGCGGTCTGAACGGACCTTTAGTTAACTTTACAGTCTAGGCAATACTTCTTCAGTAGAAGTACAGTTCAATTGGAGGTTTTAGAATCTGTAGGAATACATAACAATAGTGATAGTATTGGCATTAAGAGCACCATTGCAGCTGTTGTTTGTAGAGGCCATATCATAACAGTGCCAATAGTCACTTACGACAACAGCAGTCAATTGACCTGGCCATTATCCAAATTTACACAATGAACTTGCCTGGAAAGGTTTCAGGACTCCATAATGATCATCTGTTAGTCTTGAAGTATGCAGTGTACTGTATACGAGCACATTAGCAGAACAAAGCATTTAAAAAAGTAATCATCTGGACATGGGTTTTGACATGAGAGCATGCTGTACTGTAACATGCACTTATGATGATAGTGCATAATGTTTGAATTGTAAGATATTTATAACTTATTGAATGGAATGTGCAGTCAGTGTGAAACTATTTTGCACATCGCCACAACACTTCACTCACATACTCATTCACTATGGGCAGCCAGATCCATCAGTTCACAAAATAAATGAATGCACAGTGTTTGGAGCAAGTACACCGAGAGCCTACCACTACAGCATTACACTGTGCGACAGGCCTTACAGAGAGATATTTGCTCATGACTACAAACAATTTACAACAGAGCATGTGTCTTTTGTTGGTCAAAGGAAAAAAAAAAAAAAAATCTAAATAAGGCTTCTCAATTATTGCAAAAATGATAATTAAAATGTTTTTTTTTCTTTTTTGCTCATTATGGCATCATTTCAAACAATTACAATTATTACTTTCTTACGTTGTGAAAGTTAACGTTAATTCATTCTATTTTTTTTGTATTTGAATCAAGTAATAACTGAATTCGCCATAACAAATTGGATTAATTGTGCAGCCCTAAAAGAGACCAGACTGCTAACTACTTGACAAGTACACAATACATGTGAGTACAATATACGTTTGAGTACTAGAACAAAAAGGTAATGTTTCTAAAGAAAAAAGAGTTTTTCTACTCTTATGTGCTGCACAAAATAGCTTTAAGAGCTTACTGTAGTCAACTTTACACAGCCCACTTGTGCAGTTACATTACAGCTGAAATGAAACAGCCCAAGGTAGCATTTAATGATGCGTTCAGAATCTAGCTCCGGCTCCCAAGTGCAATCCATATGTTCGCGACTCATAATGTCCCCACCTTTCAAGCTGAAATGCCTGTAGGATGATTTCTGTGCAGGGTACAGGGAAATTTATGCAAAATATAAGGGAAGTGACATGCCGCATTATGCAGCTGCTATCTCTCTAAGTGCTTAAGTGAAATGTGTTGAAGGGTGTCAACAAACATAAAGCAGAAATTGATCAAATGGGCATGCTGCACTTGTGATGTAGATACGTAGATATAGAGACATATTGTATGGCTGCTCTTTCCTCCAGGACTTGCCATTGTAATGTAGAATAGTTTTATCAGTAAACACTATTGTGCTCTTCCATCTGACAAAGATTCACTCTCTCACAACTCTCTCTATAAACTTTCTTGTGTAGACCTGGCTCAGTCCTATCAGGCTTACTCTTTGTTAATAGCACCATTCTAATCTTGTCTTATCTTGTTCCCACAGCCTCCATTGTAGCCCAGAAGTGGTGGTGTCAAATGCAGCCGTGTATGGAGGGAGAGGAGTGCAAAGTTCTCCCTGACCTCACAGGCTGGAGCTGCAGCACAGGCAACAAAGTGAAGACCACCAAGGTTAGTTTCACACATACACATCTTCCTTTGATCGCGTTGATACTGTAAACTTGCACTGCTTAGACTGTGAGCGACCCATATCCTGCCTACTTGTTTCCATTCAGATTTTTGGAGCAAACATCAAACAATCTTTCAAGGAAAAGAAAGTAAAAAGAAGGCCAATGGGACCAAAGCCAGAAAAGGAAATATTCCCAGTTTCCCCTGCTTTACTGAGTCGACCGATATGTATGCTATCTGATGTGATGCAATAGTAACAGATACAGTAGATTCCACAAACTGTTTTAAACTGTCAGTCAAGTCAGCGGCTGCACAATGTTATATAATTCTCCCCTCATATTGATAAATCATGATCTTCAGTTTTATTTCCGGGGCATAAAAAGACAAGTCTGGATTCTGGCCCAAACCACATGTTTTTACTAACCTAGGATTGGCTGTAAATTTCTCTATTAAAAAGACCTAATCTGATCATTGACTATATGGTATGACTATCTCAATATTAGGGGTGTAACGGTACATGTATTCCTGTCAAACTGTTTCGGTATGGGACGATCAGTTCGGTACAGGGCTGTGCACGAGTGAATTTGTGCAATTTCTGTGCGTTTCCATTCGGCCACTACATGTGCAGCTACACGGAAGTCTCGACTCTTTAATATTCACGAGGGAACTTGTCTGTGATTGGGGTGGCAGCATTTCACTCATCGCTCTATAGTTAGGGTGGCCACCTTGACAACAATTGCACCCCGCCTTGACTACTTCCCTCCGAACCATGTGAATCCTTGCAAAACAGATGTCGTGTCGCGGCCCTCACTTTTGCCTTTCAATGGCACAGAATTTCTGCCTCCGCCCCTCCCCCCAATTGACATTGTAACTGCCAGCAAATCTGCGCAGTAACAAAGTTGTTTTTCTAGTCAGAAATATGAAGATTGAGTAAAACTTCATGCTGGAACTGTTAGTGCTGCCCTTCACTTTTAACGGAAGGAGGAAGGAAGGAATTTATGTTTTATAATATTTCATACATTTGTTGCTTATATGAGAATATTAGATTTAACTTATTAGTATTACCAAGCAGCACTTTTCATTTATTTTATTTGCCCATTTGTATAATGTTATACAAAAATTGTTGATTTAATAAACACAGAAATAAACAAGCAAATGATTTTGCATTTTGTTCCCATATTGTACTGAAAATTAAGCCCTGGTTTAGTTTTCTTTTTGTGAGTTCAGTTTCAATGGCTCAGTGGTTCGATAATCCTGACATTGATACTCTTGTCTTTTTAATTTTGCTCAGATCTGGTTCAGTTCTTTTTTAATACAGGTTTAGTTTTTGTAGCAACTTTCCTCTGTAACGTGTATATAAATGTAGCAGTCTAGACCTTCTCCATCGCCCCCCATTGTTCTTGAAGTGTTTTATCTGGTCTCTTTTGGCACCTGACCGGAGCAGTCTCTCAGCTGTCTGTCTGCGGATTGAGTTTGTCATTGTACTCTTCAGTTTCTAGCCTGCATCCTTACTCAGCCTCCTCACCTTGTATAATTCATGCCTGGGTGCAGACCTTTGTTTTGGCTCTACATAATTGATACGTGGGTGTGGTCTGATGGGTGAGAGTGAATCTTCATGGGTGAAAGAGAGTTTGGAAATTCTTTACTTAACTTTTCCTTTATTTAGCCATCATCTTGTAAAGTTAACAACAATAAGTCAGTTATTTATCCTATTCTCAAATGTTATGTTTCTCAAGATCTTTCTTTGCAGTCCCACACCCACAGAGACATAAATAAGTTGAGAGTTTCATATTGATTTGTTTTTTGACACGACTAAAGACACATTTTAAAATGTATAAATAGATAATACATATGAAAGAACATGTGGGCAAAGAAAGAGATTACAGTCAGTGTGGCTAATTTCCATCTCCATTGTTTCATAATGATGTAAAAAGTCAGAGTAGAACTATTGGTGAATTTAAGGAGTGGGGATTGAGTTCAGGAATGAAATGTTCACACTTTTACTTTTTTGCTACGTGGGCTGGGGCTTATCATTTTAAAGAAAAAGTGTCTCTTAATGTTTGGTCTGGTAAAATAAAGCAAATATATACTCCTTGAATTTTTACAGACACAAAAGATCTAAACATCGTGACCCTAATATGTTCTATTTCCACATTACATAACTTCTGGACACTTTGTTTCCTTTAAATTCCAGTTGAACAAGTGTTGTTCCAATTAAAAACTCTTTTCAGACTTATCTCAGAGTGGACTACAGTGAATGTGTGAGTGAGGAACTTGCCCAGTCCTGCGCCCACACAGACGCCAAAGAGACATAAGCGGAGAATAACAAATTGGTCATAGTGTATGCAATAGAGGAGGGCTGATATGAGGCTGATGTCATCTTCAAATGCATGACTGCTGTTAGGAAGGCTCTCTTCTTAATTGATTATTATTTAGGTTTTGTCACGTATAATTTGAACATTATAACAGTGGGAAAAGAATCAAAGAAGCCTTAACTTCCGCTGTGACTGTTTGAAAGTGCACAAATATTTGCTGTCTCTTGCGTTTAGCTCTTTGATCAATGATCTTCGTTTGCCTGGTCGTAATATAGGAATGTGTGGGCTGATGGGTTTGTCTGATGATAAAAAGAAGGTGTTTTTCCCCTTGCTGTGGTATACTGAGGTCAAGACGCGCACGCATTTAGATCAATAGCATCGAGCGCTCTCTTATAGTCCCATTAAGACCTGCTCGTAAATTGAAATTGACGACAGAGTGAGGGAGAGATGAGAGAGACATAGAGGAACGCTAAAAGTAAAATGAAGCAGTGGTGATGGATAGGAGAGGAAATGCACAAGAGGTGAGTGAGGGATTCAGAAAAGATGGAAACAAAGTCAATACTTACACATCTGTTTGTTTGTTTGACTGCAAGAAAATAGTATAGTTTTCTCATTTGATCTTGGATATCATTTGTGAAAACATGTACTTTATAGGACTCCACAGACAGACTTTATTATGTCTAAAGCTTGCACACTCTCAATGATTGGCTGTAGAATGATGGCTGACAGGGAGAAGTTACAATTTATTTTAGTTGAATTGTAAGGCCATGTTCACTTTTCCATTCAATGATGTATCATTTGAAGGCTGTTAAGTATAGAAGGTGTGAGACTGATACGTGTTTATGTTGTGTTGATACTAAATAGCCCTTCTCTGTCCCATAGGCCTAGTTTTAGCAACTGATACTTTGCAGTGACATAGGGGGTGTTCTATATTGCATTTCTATAGACCTTTTTCACAATGGCCAGAAGCGCCGCGATGTAGGGTAAATGTCACTTCCGGTTAATGCTAAATATCTGTGGAACCTTCATAAATTTGCCACATCACCAAATCTTCATCTAACAAGGTCGACAAAGGACATATTCTGTCCATGAAGGATTTATCCACAACTATCAAGGTACCGTATTTTTCGGACTATAAGTCGCACTTTTTTTCATGGTTTACGTGGTTCTGCTACTTATACTCCGGTGCGACTTATATATTAAAATTTTCAGACTGACAGCCACGAGAGGCTCTAATCTTGTGTTAGTATCTAGTACTACTATTACTCCTGTACCACTGTCACTTCGCACTCTACTGTGCATGTCTCCTGTAGAAAAAGTCACTGCCTTGCTGCAAATAGTGAAATATGCAGCCGAAAATGGTAGAGCAGCAGAAAAAAGTTTGGAGTGAGCGAGAAACTTGTGAGAGACTGCCGGAAAGCGGGGATGGAGAACACAGCTTCACAGTAACTGGGCGTGTGGACCATGCAACTTTCCTGGAAGTCTCTGGATGAATCGACAAAACCTGAACTTCAATGACAACTGAAACGATCCTGTCAGGATTCAGGCTAAGGCTGGAATAATTCTAACTGGAACTGATGCTGGGTCTGACGACAGCTACGCAGAAGAGGAAGCGGCCCTGCATTTACATCATGGATCTATGGTTTATCTTCGGAGGTCACGCAGAAGTGACAACGAGGATGAAGAATTCAGTGGAAATCCGTGTATCATTTGTTAATTTGTTTTTCAATGTAAAACCAAAAATAAGAAAACAAAAAAAAAACTGTTTTCTTCATTATTTGTTTCCAAAACCAAAATGAAAAACTGATAACAATTCGTTTTTTCAGTTTTCGATTTTGTGTTTAAATGAACAATGGAAAAAATGCATAATGACTGTTTCCCGTTTACGTGACTTCCGTGACTGCAATGCCGGATTTTGCACCATGTACGTACTGAACCAGGACTGATCCAGGTCCGGGACCAGACCGGGACCAGAGCGGACTCCGAGCTTTGACTCCGAGCCGCCGCAGGGTCCGAGCCCCAGCTTCGAGTTCCGGCTCTGCCGTGGGCTCTGAGCCTCCGGTCTGGTCCGGGTCTAGTCCCAGTCTAGTCCCGGTCTTGTCCTGGTCTGGTCCCAGTGTCAGGGTGCTTTCACACAGACAGTAGTTGGTGCGCACCAAACGATCCATTCGAACCAAAAGCTCTTAGTTCGGTTCGTTTGCCTTGGTGTGAAAGAGTCAGTCAGACTCGGACCCACACCAAATCAAGCGGACCGAGACCTCAAAAAAGAGGAGGTCTCGCTTCGCTTGAGTCTGCACCAAATACCAAATTTTGGTTAGTTTCGTTAGGAGCCTTGGCCTGAGAAGTGCTTTACCCAGGGAAGAACTAAATGCGCAGAGGACAAATGGTCAAAACAATATAACCAACCAAACTGGATTCACTCTTCTGTCCAGACTCTTTGCACCACCTCAGAACCAGCCGTGGTTCTTGAGCGTGGAGGACCGGAGCAGCCCGTCGGAACCTGTAGTTCACAGCGCATTCTCGCTTTCCCCGCACGGAACCAGCGTGCAGACGATGACACGGAATTGCTCGGACCGGTCTCAGTCCCGCTCTGGTTCCAGTTTGGTCAAGGACCTGGATCAGTCCTGGTTCAGTCCATACGTGGTGCAAAAGTCCGGCAGTCACGGAAGTCACGTAAACGGGAAAACAGTCGTTATCCGTTTTTTCCATTCTTCATTTAAACACAAAATCGAAAACTGAAAAAACTAATCGTTATCCGTTTTTTCATTTTGGTTTTGGAGACAAAAAATGAAGAAAACAGTAGTTTTTTCATTTTCTTATTTTTGGTTACATATTGAAAAACGAATGAACGAATGATACACGGATTAATGGATTTAGTGATTTGGAGTGAGATGGAGGGTTTGGTAAACTTATGTTATGTTTTTTATTCTATAGTTATCTGAATAACTGTTCATATGTTATGTTAACATATTAAAACCTATTCAGCCTGTTGTTCTCTATTCTGTTGTTATTACTGTACTTGCCTTTCAAGATGAAAGGTCAGTTCCTGGTCTCTGATTTTATAAAATGCATTACCCAAAAAGTGCAACTTATAGTCCAGTGCGACTTATACTGTATATGTTTTTTTCTTCTCCACTGCGCATTTTTTGGCTGGTACGACTTATACTCTGGAGCGATAGTATAGATAGTATAGTCCGGAAAATACGGTAGACGAAAACTTAAAGGCGAACAACGAGTAGCATTAGTGAACTACTCAAAAGCAAAACCAATGTTATGATCATGAATAAAACATGAGTAATTAGTAATCCTTTAATAAGTAACTTGTTAATTCAGACTGATTCTAGAATGAAAATAAAAAATTTATTTCATGTAGATATTGGCACAGACAGAGATTTGTGCAGTTTAAATGCTCGACATGTAATCTTTGAACATCTGTAGCTTTCAAACTGCACAACTCTATCTATGCAAATATCTACATGAAATAGATTTTTAATTTTAATTCCAGAATCAGTTAACACGTTACTTACTACTTATGTTTTATTCATTACCATAAGGTTAGTTTTGCTCGGTAGTTCTCTAATACTAGGCGTTGTCTGCCTTTAAGCTTTGTCTTGATAGTTTTGGATGAATTCTTTATGGAAGAATGTTTATCCTTTGTATGGACCTTGCTGGATAAAGATTTGGTGATGGGGCAAATTTATGAAGCTGGTGGAAAACATTCCACAGATAGTTTGCCATAGAAAAGCATTAATCACAGCGCTTCCTGCTGTTGTGAAAAAGGTCTATTGATGTAATGTTCAGCAGTTTCCGTTGGTGACACAATGCCCACATTAGCAAACACAGACAAAACATTTTTTAAGATCATCTGAAAACTCAAGAAAAAATACAAAATATCAATATGACACATGTTTAACAGCACAAATCAGCTGTTGTAGTTCCATCCAAATCAGCTCTTTCTGGTCAGATTATGTTGAAATAAAGTTCAGATTAAAGTTTAACCTGAGTAACAGAGCTTCTAATAGAGCAGTGCTTTCAGTTAGTCACACCCCCAGTGAACAATGATGACATCAGCTGCAAAGTATCAAAAAAAAAAAAAAGTAAAAAAAAAAAAATCTGAGTAGAAAATGACTTCAAAATTATTTCATTTCATTTTAAGCGATGGACTGATATTGACAAAATTATCCAAGAATATTATTGTAATTGATTTTTAAATTATTATTAGATGATGTTATGGCAGTATTTCAGAAATGTGCTAAACATAAAACATGCCAGTAATATTGTGGTTGCGATTTGCAAAACATGAATGCACTGCAAAATTAACCACATAAAAATAATAAAATAATGCACTTGATATTCTAACTTTGTATAGCTGGATCCACAGTATCCGTTTTGTATCACTCACCTTTATCAGAGCCGTTCGTGTAACCATTGTTCATTTGCATGACTTCACAGGAGGTTTTGGCTTGTGCTGAGGGAAGGAGGAGAGGAGGAGGGCAGAGGGAGGAGCGAGGGAGGGGACCTGAGACTGCACGATCGATGCCAAATAATATCATATGGATGAGCAGTGCAGAGACAGCCCGCCTGCCAAAGCACGAGCTGTCACACATTTGCATAGACACATGCTTTATACAGGAGCAGATGAAGTGACAAAACAAAGAACACTGCAGCTTCCACTCTCTGAAGAGGAGTGAAGAGGAGTGAAGAGGAGTGGGGGGTTCTCACTGACCCTTTTGTGCTGTTCACAAACACACCAATGGATCTGTGCTATTGCATAATGTATTCAACAGGGATAAACCATTGTGATATTCATTAGAGAAATCCTGCCTTGTTACTATGATTTGGTAACATTTTTTTTAGTATACCTCTTAATTATAATAAATCATGAAGAAAGATTTAATTTATGACAAACAAAACATTTTTTTATGAGAATGATTCACTACTACTACAAGCTACTTTTAATTTTACTTAACAAATCAATACCTAAATAAAGTTGTTTCCGGTCCAAACTATTATTATTTCAAAGCAGGGGTGTCCAAACTATAACTGACCAATTTTTGGTTCCACTGAACTGGCTCAAATTATAATAGGTAGCACTTTTATGGAAAATTATAATAATTCTACCACTATAATCTCAGTAACACATTGCCACAGACCTAAAATCTACATTCCCAGCTTTATTAAAGGCACAGTAGATCTGTTAAAGCAATTTTAAAGCACCCATCTGAATGACTCGATGTACTGACTGACTCTAGGTCCCGGTCCGCTACAAATGTGTTTCAGCATGTGGCTCTCAGTGAAAAACTTTGGCGTCTCTGTTTTAAAGCATTTGTTCATTATGAATTATTATGAGTTTTTCTTCATGCTTTATTAGTATTAATTTCTCAGTTTTTTTGTCACAATGAGCATTTGAAAGACGTGATCACAAAGGTAGAAGTATGGGAGGCAGTCAGAGCAGTGCAGCAGCTGTATAATAGGAGTAGCAGATGCAGTGATTGCTGTAGTAACAGTAGGTCAAAACAATGTGGATCCAGGCCACAGATTTATAGCTGGCAAAACGATAATTGTTACATTACTACAATTCTCCCAGGAACAAGTCTATTATTTTCATGGCACTGTTTTAAGTGTGTCCATATGGAAAGCATTGCAAGTGTAAGCATTATTACAATGTTGCTCTGTTAATGTAGTCTCATTAACAATTTAGTTTATTGTAGACTTATTTATTTCACTTCATATTTACAATTGATGTACTTGTGAGTGAAAAATCTCTGGACTTTTCAGCTAATGCTTTTCCATAATTGACACTTTGTGACTAGCGTTGCCCGTAGACAGCGTGTGCTTCCTGCTGGAGTGGAGCGGACATGTGCCTTGTGGCCAAATGAGCAGCCTGCAGCAAAAGCAGTTAGAGCTCGTGGACTGAGCACTATAAATGTGTGGGGCTCACAGACCTAACAGGGCCCACAGAGATGACACTGGTGTGCTTTGTAAATGGAGACTTAACTGCCTAAATCCGATTTCTAATTGGACACCAAAAGAAGCACCTAAAGGCATATATAATGAACGTGTGCATACCTGACATTGCCAGTGAGGACCTCATGAAGCTTTTGTGATGTGTACAGTGAACTGGCATGACAACAAACGCACACAGACTGTTTGATCAGTGCAGGGTTAGATGCCTGAAGGCAGTGGGAGCAGGCCCAGAGTAGGTGGCCCGAAGCCATCCACTGCTACATACAGTGGAGAGAAAGCCACTGGCAGCTCAGAGCCAAGGCCGCTTTGTGTGTTGTCACCGATGGCTAACCTTCACTCTGTGTGCTGCCACCTGGGCTCTGCAAAAAAAAAAAAAAAACAACCCTGAGGAGGAGAGAAGAGAGAGCATCTGTAGCCAAGAGAGGAACACAGCAATAACAGTGAGCGCCTGAAAGAGAAGAATGCTTTTGGAGAGGCCAGGATAGTGCACGCCACAGTATTGGCAGACGTACACTCATTTGTGTCTGTGCTATGCTTGGCTGCTGAAAAATGCCTCCTAATATGTTGAAATAAACCAACAGGGAGCAGATACGGGAGAGAAAGAATAGAATAAGATTGATGCATGCGATAAGGGGGTGCACATGATTAGCCCAATAGAAGAAACACTGTGGAATAAGGCCTAGTAGCCTCAATAGAGGAGAGGAGAGGAGAGAGACTATAGACCTAATGCTATCTCTTACACAGCGTCTGGTTAAGTGTTCTTCCAAAAAATAACAGGGAGCCATCTTGTATAGGGCTTCACCAACAAGAATCATTTTATATCATTTCCAAAAAAGTTCTGCACTGCATTATTTATTGAAAAGCCAGGGCTGCCACAGAGCACAAAACTGCCTCTCTCCACAGACTGACCTTTACTTACTTTGCCGTACTCAACTCTTTCACACTGCTTCATAACTTTTAGTGGAATATTTCTGGTGTGCTGCTGACCCATTTCTGTGTCTTCTATTTCAGGTGACCCGATAGTCCCACTCATCTGGACCAGACACAGTAAACAGCAGTGGAGTTACTTACACAGCACAATGGACCCAACCATAGCAGGACAAAATGCACTCAAACAAACTGCTTTATGGATGCAGTAATAGTTTCATTTTTCTGAAGATATCAAAGACGATGTGGCCACAGAGATAGGACTCTGACACTGACTGCCATCTTTACACACACACATCAAGGACCGCATTACCCACAATCCTTTACTTCAACTGGAAAGGTGTTCAAAACAAAACTGGATCAGAAGGCAAGAGATCACCCGGCGACAAAAGCTCTTTCTTCCAGTGTGTCCATATGGAAAGTATAAGGAATTTACATTTGAATTCTTACCATAATCGCTTCAAAAAGGTGCACAAAATGGCTGTTTCATGTTGCCGGAATGACACAATGATTATGTAACTGTGCCACATGTGACACATGCTGTCCAAAAGTATCTCAGATAAACTTTTGTTGTTTTCCAATTTTACTATATAATAAAAGTTTCCTTATTTTCTGTTGTGGCTGACCAACCTCCATTTTTGTAACAGCAGAAACAGTTTTATCATTTCTTTCATTTTAATTTTTTGGGGAACAAAATCCTTTCAAGGGTAATCTTAGACTAATCCCACGTAGATGTTGCGGTATATTGAAACATGTAAACGTGTAAAAATGGTCCATGGAATCAATGGGGCTAATACAAAAGGTTGCTCTTCTGGTTTCTTATCTGTGTTTTTAAAAGCCTGTTAACCGCTATTGAGTACATGTGTCAGTATTATATGAAATGAATAAAACCTTTATCAAAACAATATCAAACCTTTGTCACATTTTGTATAGACCTTGAAAATATTAATTACTGGCACACAAACGATTCTTGAATCTATATGTGTACTTATGACGAGGGACTTTAAAATCTCAAAATAGATTTGATAGATAAAAAGATTTGAACACACCAACATTGCCGACCTTGTATATATTTTGTCACATTTCTACTGAAATAGGTACGTGCATACAAATCAAATGAAATATTGAAAAGGTGAAGGTGTTCAGCATTCATCTGTGTAGAGCTCATTTATTTTGAATGCCAGACAAGAAGAAAAATATTTCATAAATGAATTAGACATTTAGTAGCTTTTATACAAAATTAATTATTGACTTTTTATTTGTGATATATAATTTGATGCAAACTGCAAAATACATTGGTTTCAGTGTATCATTCTTTAATAAAGATGATGGTTCTGTATGCAAACTTACATACTGAAAAGAAAATGTCATGGCCAAGACTGTATGTTTTCAACTAACTCCTATTATGTACTCTGAGGAGACTTCCAATTGATCACGTCCCATCAAATAAACCTGAATATGTCAGAGTGGAACCATTGTTCATGGACTTAATGTAATTCCTAGGTGACAGCAGTGGAACTTCACATGATCTCCAAAACATAGACCTGCTCTACATTCCAGCTCCACTCCTCAAACAGGTAATGGATGTTATTTTACTCTATAGATTTATTCCACTTTCCCACTGTCTGCCCCAGCCATCACTTTTGACAAGTGCATAAAAACTCTGCTTGGCTGTACCCTAGGGGGGGACAAGTACTGCTAGTACCATGTAAAACCATTGTCATGCAGTGAGATGCCCTCAAGTCAGCCTAAAGATAGCACTTTAAAGGCAGCGCAGACAGTAAAAAGAATGCAAAATAAGGCATTATATGGTACACAGCATGTTTGGGATGCAGCAGTCAGCCAAGATGCTGAGTGCAAGTGACATTCAAAAGCAAGTCTGGAGTTGACTCAAGACTTGAAAAAAAGAAGAAGAAGAAGAAAAACTAGTATGTTGGAAATGCATGGGACAATATGAAATATGAAATAAGAAATTTTGTAAATTCAAATAAAAAATAGGAATATATTTCCCTACTCATGGGTTAGATTATTACCTACTTTTTCCAGACAAGCATTTTTTGATTACTTTGACTGACATAATTTTTTTTTTGTGAAAATCTGATTGCATTAAGAGCACAGTTGAACAAATATGATCAAGAAGCATTTTTATGATTATTATGTATTTTTTGGGTATGGGTATCACCAATGCATTTAAAAAGGCAATTAGCTGACTGTCGATCATATAGAAGCTCTTCCCTGGGACACTTAATTTGGTCCAATAAGATGCATAGTTGGATGAGAACCTTGTACTATCAACTGTCTTTAAGAAAAAGGGCCAATAGAGCCTGCCTTTGCCTTCCTTAGTCAGACCCTACTGAAAACTAACATTTTTTTTACAACTATTTTCTGAATTAAAAAATTGAAAGTGAGGCATTTAAAGTACAAAATGTGATTAAACAAATGATCTTCCATGGTTCAAACTCAGGTACAGTACTTTAAGTTTCAGTGAGATGTAAGAATAAGCAATAGTGGGGGAGATAAAAATGTGTTCACAAAGTATATCTCTGGTTCTGGACTGTGGGTATCTGTCCCTCCCTCTACCATACACACCAATACTGTGACTATCTATGTTGTGTTGCATTAAAACTGCCTTCCTCAAACGTTTTTCTGATTTGGCTAATCTGCCAGTGGATCCTCTGCGGGGCCAGGGCCTTCACTGAGCCATAACACACTGGTCTTTGTGCATGTGTCAGTGCGTGGTTATTGCCTGTCATTAAAAGATTACAGTGAATAAACACACTGAAGAACTGTGCGCGTTCTGACTGCCATAATTACAGAGTGGGAAAAAAATGTGTAAAAGGATTTGACATCAAAATGTGACAGCCTCAATTTTTGGAACTATAGCGTAGCGCTAGCGAGGTGATTTTAAAGGCTGTATGCTAGTGAACTCTGAAAAACTTACAATATCAATCCAAGGACAGTGTGAAAGCAGGGTCTAATGTTACTACAAATATTTATTACAACTACTGCCTAGAACTACATGCTGAATCTGACTATATCATCTGTGACTAGTTGGCAGTGATGGAACGTAAAGAAGTAGTAAAGTACTGTACTTAAGTAAAAAAAAAAATTAGGTATCGCTTTAAAGTTGACTGTAAGAAATGTGTGAAAAACCGTTTGGATCAAGATATAAGCCAAGATAGAGGCTGCATTCCCCCAAAGCCGGTTAGGGTTAGTGCATATGCAGGACCTTCTCATGAACCTTTGACAAGTGCTTGTTTCTGGTTGTCGCAAATTTGCAACATAACCAAATTTCAATTTCAGTTTCTTTTTTTTTTTTTTTTTTTTTTTTTTTTTTTTTTTTTGCTAGAGTCAAAATAATAATCTCTTATAATATTATAATAATCTTAGAATCTTTAAAGTTAAACTTTTTACTTTTACTTCACTGCATATGACAGCAGGTATCTTTTTACTCCACTACATGTTTAACAGTATTTTTATTATTGTTTGAAACCTACCGAAAAGGCTGAGAGTTTATTTGTAACACAAAAATATACAAAGAAAAACAGCTAGAAAAAAGATTGATTCAATTGTTTCTGTTGAACAAAATTCAGCAAAAATCTTTATCCAAATCAATACATTTGAAGCTTTATAAAACCGCAAAATCTACTGGAAATACTTTTTTATTCTTGAACTACAATTTTAAATGGGTACGTTAATACTTTTATGTAGATTTTTTCATGTAATACATTTACTTTCATTTCTTTGCTCTGATATTTCAACTTTTTATTTAAGTAACCAAACTGAGTACTTCTTGCACCACTGCTGCTACTCTCTGCTTGTATCCAGACACTGCTCAGATGAGTCAAATATGGTGTGTGGTTAGTGGAAGAATGAGCCAGTCACTGCTAACAGACGCTAGAGCAGATGCAGCACTAGGCTAACATATGCGTAAATACATCACAGGGATGGTGATCAGGGGAGGTGCACCACTCATTTGGAGCTCGTTCACAGACCTCCACAAATGTCCTGGTCCTTTCTGGTAATGGTGAACAAGTGTGCACAAATGTGGACTGGTTCTAATGCATTCTGAGCCAACAGTCCCTCCCATTGTCCATGTGCTGTAGTTTATTCAGCAGATTATTCTTTGCACATCATTCATTTATCAGTGTTAAATCTGTCCTGGTTAAAATGTTGGCAGAAAATAGTCCCTCTTTGGCAGCATTGGTGAGACAAAATAGCAGATTCGTACTAAAGAGAAATCAAGCCCATTATGATTTCATGTTTGGTTCTGAAAATATTTGAAACTAACTCATAATAACACACTACAAACATGACCTTTTAGTGTGTAATGGACCATATCTTCTGTTGGTTTAGGAAATGCATTATAATAAGAACATTTCACTGACTTCGCTTTTGTCACTTGCACCAAGCAGCCTCAAGAACAGAGAAAACACACATTCGCTAGTTAAATTAGGCAGTAATTGACTACAATTATGCTTGATAATCATCACATTAATAATACACAATATTATGATTAATACAGAATGTTTATGAGGCAGTCTGGTGTAAAAGCACAGACGTGTCCATAAACTGACACTGCTGACAACTCTGAATATTAAGCTGCTGGTTTATGTGAGGCATAGTTCTACTGACATCATTATGTTGCACAAACCTTTTATATCCCATACCACAATGTTCTATCTATGTGTGTTTTGGTGATTTTTAGGCTACAGGTTCTAACATGGCATCTATGGTTTTCATGTATGGCCAATTAGTCAATGTTAGTCAGTTTATGCGGAAGTGGGAATGAATATTTAAAAGATAAATAATTACAGTCATTGGTTGGGCCTGGTTCGAGCTTGGATGGGAGACAGCAGAGTATGCCAGGTGCCGTAGTGCTACAGCTTGCCTAGTATGAATGTAGTGTGTGAGAAAGTAGTGGTGGCCAAAGGGGTCCCAAGACGGCTGCGTAGCTGAGCTCCAAGACTAATGCATCAATCATCCATAAGCAATGTGCATGCTAATGAAGCCAAGTTTATAAAAGCAAATTGAATACAGAAATGCTCAAAACAAGTACGGTGATGGTGTATAGGCTTAAATGTCTTGTTGCTGCAGAGGATAAACCAGACTTACCAATCATACATCGATAATAGAACATAATTTCTTTGCTTCATACTCAAATAATTCATACAGAACTTAGAATATTAAAGAAGGGAGAGGGGTGAAAGATGGAGGGAGTCTTTGAGAGGAGTTCAAAGGGTGGCCTAAAAATAAAACCACTCCTGTTGTGAGAGCACATCAGAGCAAGTTACAAATGAACTCAACACATCAATGTGGCGTATACTTCAGGCCAGTGTGTGTGTCTTTGTGCAGATGAGACGATACCAGGCAAGAAAGAAAGAGAAAGGTAGTGTGTGCGGCCCTGATAAGCAGCACACCCAAGGGGTTCTTTACATGGTAGTCCCAACCTGTCACTATTCCTCCTATGCTTGCCCTTATATGTGCACACACACACACGGCTAGCCAGATAACCCCACCTCCACTCATGATATCCATGTCAATGGGACTGTGAGAGAGAGGTGCTTTTCCTGTATTCCCACGAGCCGAGCAGAGAGCCAAGAACTGCAGTGATGCTATTTGGGTGGATGCTTCTTATTTTTACACATTTGTCATTGTAAAACAGTCTCTACAGAGCATGGTTAAATGTTGAGAAGGTTGCACAGTAGTCATCTGGACCACCAGTGCAACCTTGTGATTAAGACATTTTGACTTCCATCCAGAAGCCATTTTCAATTGATGGGACTGGCTAAAAATGGCTTCTGGACAGGAGCCGAGATGTCT